GCATTCCCCCACACTCGTCCGATGGTTCGTTCGACCTCGAGCCCTTCGTCTCCTTCCTGGTCATGTTTGAGCGAGAGGGACGCCGTGGCCGCAAACGTAATCGCAATGAACACGTGATCCTTGCTCTTCTCAACCTGGTTTTGCATAATGGGGTGTCGTCGAGTACACGTGCACGAGCAGAAATTTACATTAAAAATATTTAAGTGCGCTTCTTGCACGATCTGATCGATAATGGACGCGGAGTCCAGGCTGCACCGTTACTGGGACATAAGCGCAACTGGAAGAAGTTATTGTTATTATCGAAATCACTCAAATGGAGTAGCCCAGTACGTTCATTTACCAAAGGACAAAATGTCGAATGTCGTATGCCAATTTGAAGTTCTGCTGCTTTTATTATGGTTTTGCATCAACCATTATTGTAGTATAAAAAAGAATGTGAAACGCTATGCTAATAAAATTTTGTAACATTTAAGGTAAAGCATTATCAGTACCATCTGTCATAATACGGATATCAATTTTTTCTACTCATAACTTTTTTTATCGCGCAATCTGGCTTTTACGTGCTGAAGTAAATGAATTTTGCAAATTCCAAACTTTAGGCACTTCAGTACTTTAGTTATATTGTAGTTCATATAACTACTACAAGTAGTAGTGACATATGCCTCGATATACAAACATCATTGCAAATTTGAGTGAAATTGTTATCTCAGATTGATTAATTTGAATAGAATGAAAAGTATATTTTATTATAGTATAATGCTTTGAATGTTTGTTTTTTCTTCATAATTTTGCGCGCCTTACAACTTACATTCAATGTAAACATTTATAATGTCGTTCATACTGCCAAATAATCAAAGGGCAATGAAAAATTTCACATTTATTTGACGAAACTCCGTGGTTCTCGGTCACCGCATAAAATTAAAAGAAAAAACAAACAACATAACCATATTTTCATCTCGTTCGTTTGAAAAGAACAGAAGACTAAGGTCTTCTTTCTTCTTTCGTTACAGTAACTTCAATCTGGATCTCAGCGGCTATGATGCCGCTTCCATAATGGTGAATCCAAACTCGGTGATGCCACACATGTCGGTGCGCAATGCAGCAGCGACAAACAACAATGGCCTCAGCAGTACCACGAATACGACAGCGAACAGCAAGCGATACTTTGCCTTCTCGCCCAAGCTCGATCCTAAAGAGGAGAGGACCGAGGTGTCGGAGCTCCCCGAACGGAACGGCACCGTGGAGCTCGAGGAGACCGAAGTCGAGGCGGAAGCGGAGCTCGAGTCCGACCCGGAGAGGGATTACGAGAACGAGCTGTCGGACTCGGAGGAAGAGGAAGAGGAGTCCGAGGACGAGGAGCACGAGTCTCAGTTAAACGGTTCCAGTCTTAAACTGAGTCTGCCCCAACACAAGTCCAAAGCTACGCTGCTCCTACCAGCCAGCACGATCAAGACTATCTCACCACAGTTTATCAAAGCGCATCAGCAGCAGCATCAGTATCAGCATCAGCATCAGCAGCAACAACAACAACAGCATCAGCAGAATCATCACCACCACCATCACCACCATCAGCAGCAACAGCACCAGCACCAACACCAGCAGCAGCAGCAGCAGCAGCAACAACAGCAACAGCAACAGCAACAGCAACAGCAACAGCAACAGCAACAAACGCTTAAAGTCAACGGCATAACCGGCATTCGGCTGCAAAATCTTAAAATCCTCCAGAGCCCAGGACAGGTACAACAGTTGCGCCGACAAATCTACGGGAACGGTGTCCAGGCGCACGTTGTCACGCAACAGCAGCATCATCAGCAGCAGCTCCTCCAGCAGAGTTCGCAGCTGACGCAGATTGCGGCTTCGCAGGCGAGTTCCGGGTGTCCCAAGAGGGATAAAGATCTCGATCCACTCAGACTCGACTACGACGATAAACCGTATCCCAAGCCGGCTTACTCGTACTCCTGCCTCATCGCCATGGCGCTCAAAAACAGTCAAACGGGATCTCTGCCGGTATCCGAGATCTACAATTTCATGTGGTGAGTCTAAACATAAGCAATTCATTAAGTCGATTGTCCAAGACTAATTGGTGGCGACAGTCCTCGGTTCCATTAATTACGCATAACAAAATTGTACGAAGCAATGACGATCGATGTAGGTTTTCCCTCGATTGCAGTTGCTTTATTACCAGCTTCCCCCAGTCACAATTCAACAAAGAAAGTAGTTTTGCCGATGTCTAAATGCGCGGCCATTAGTCATTGCGATTAGCCAAACCAGTACTTACGATAAGCAACACGAGCTGGGACAATAAATAAATTTATCATAAATACGCCATAAAAGTTATATAACTCGAAATAATAAATGACGTAGCATCGCGAGCTCGTTATTAAAAGAAAAACAAAACAAAAAAAGCATGCAAAACGAAAGTCGAAAACCGCAGCCGGCGACAAAACTTTTCGTTCACCCTCTCCTCGTACTTTTACCTGGCATATTCCTGATCATTAAGCGCGCCCAATCGCACGTGAATTTTCGCGTGCCCCAATATATCAAGCCGGCCGCTCAGTCGCGCGCGCACATTTAATAAAAAATAAAAAAATTAATAAAATAAAATATAAATCGGAAGGGTGAGAGCGGCGAGGGGACCCGGAGAAAAAAATGCGTGGCAAGAGGACGAAGGGAGGAGGGGGACGAGCGAGTAGTTGTAGCGGCCGAGCTGTAGAGTAGGGGGATTTTGAAGCTCGAAATGCAAGTATTGCGTAGCAATACTCGGTCTTTCAGAACTCGGTGCGCGTTGAGCGCTGCTGGCCTGCTCGAGTAATCTGCCAGGGGGAAAAGAGGAAAAGAGATAGAGCGAGAGTGCCTGAACGGGGCTTCGGCTTCAGCCCTACCGTTGCCTTGGCTGTGTCGATGCGATATACAGCCACACTAGCCGGGAGCAAGAAGGTGGAAGGGGTCCGCGTATTATCCCTCTTCCTTTATTTGACTCCCTTACCCCGGCCCCGCCGCACTCGCCAACTTGTATACGTACACGCGCGCCCGTCCCCTCTTGCCCTTCACCCCACCCACCATCCCCTCCCCGCGCGCTCTAAGTCGCTCTCTCTCTCTCTCTCTCTCTCTTCCCCTCCCCTCTCCATCACTCTCTCGTTCTTGGCCATTCGTTTCACGGAGCGGCAAGGGGAGAGGTGTTATTTTGTGTGAGGCCCTTGGAGCACCAGGTGCATGCCAAAGTACAGTCTCGAGAGAAAGCCGAGGCCCCTCTCTTTGTTCCTTGTGGCGGCCTGCCCCGCGTACAGTACTATCCAAGAATATCGCGCACTTGCATTTTGCGCGCTCGCGATCTTCAACACAACAATCTCTCTCGGTTATGATCGTTTTCCGTCCTCGTTTTTCTCTCCCGGAATTATTGCCATTTCGTGCACGCTTCGCCATTGAGTCGCGCTATTTCCTTTTCTCTCTCAATCACGCGAGTCTAACCACTGGCCCACTCCAATTGTCAAGCCCCCTCCCCTCCTCCATCTCCTTCTCTCTCTCTCTCTCTCTCTCTCTCTCTCTCTCTCTTACACTCTCACTCTCTCGCTCGTTATGTTCATACTCCACTCTCTATCATCTCTTGCTCTCATCACCTTTTATTCTATCGCGCCATTTTTCTCCGTAGCGCGGTTATGGCTTAGCTAACTCTTGGTCATTACTTTACGTGATTAAGAGACGCCTCGGACCCTATTCATGGATAATTCATTTTATATTTACGATCATTATTGCACACGTATATTAAACACGCGTCTTTTATTATTTTGAGTTACTTGGGCGTTAGAGGATTTTATTTATTTTTGCGAATAAAAAAATATTTAAACTGTTTGATATAAAATAATTTTTTGCTGATAAAATTATAATTCATATTTTTGTCTATCTGTCTGATTGTTGGACTCTCTCTCTCTCTCTCTCTCTGGGCGCGCGCGCGCGAGTGAGCGAGTGGTTTTATCGAACGAGGAGCAATTTTTCTCTATTATTCTTGATTTTAACATTTTTACTTTCTTTGTAATTCAAATATAAAGATAAAAGCATCGATTCAAAGAGTGCAACGGGCGAAGCAAGATTTATTTGAAAATATAAAAATAAATTAAGAAAATTCTTCAATAATGAAAAAAAAATTCACTTAAATATAAATAAATAACTCGCATTTAATGATTGCATAGCCGTATTAAACAATAATGTTATTTAACTTTGGTACACGAAGAAACTATAAATTATCGCCGGTATATAATAGAAAGTTAGAGAAACCCCGGAAAGTAAATGCGCGTTGCTAGTCGTAATGGGATAAATAAATGAATTAACGTTAGAGAGTACTGTATTGCATCAATGCGTATTTGAAGAAAAAAAAGTAAAAAATTCCGAGTAACATGTAGATAATAGTAAATTTGAGAATCCAATAAAAGATAATGTAAAAGATGAAGAGCGTGGGTTTGCCATTTTTCAGCGAGCACTTTCCATACTTCAAGACGGCTCCAAACGGCTGGAAGAACTCCGTAAGGCACAACCTCTCGCTCAACAAGTGTTTTGAGAAAATCGAGAAGCCGGCGGGCAACGGCAACCAGCGTAAGGGCTGCCTCTGGGCCATCAACCCTGCCAAGATCGCCAAGATGGACGAGGAGGTACAAAAGTGGTCGCGAAAGGATCCCCTCGCCATCAAGAAGGCCATGATCTATCCGGAGCAGCTGGAGCTCCTGGAACGCGGTGAAATGAAGTACGTGGGGAGCAGCAACGGCGACCTTTCCGAGGAAACGGAGAGCTCGGGCGACGAGGCCGAGGGCCCGGAGGAGGTGGCACGTAGCCTCGGACACGGGCACCTTGCGGCCAACTCGGTCACCGACAGTTACGACGAGAGTAGTCAGGACTGCGATGTCGACGCCACCGAGCAGCTCTACGACGAGATCGACATCGACGACAACAAAGAGGCCCTGCACATGCAGCTCAATATCTCCAAGCAGGAGAGCAGCCTCGATTATCAGTTGAGCCCGAGTAACAAGCGACAGAAGACCCTCACGGGCACACTCCAGGCCAACTACGTCTATCAACCGGTAACGACTGCCCGGAGGAAAACGGCACCCCTCTTCCTTACGACGGGAGCCGCCGCAGGCTCCTTCCTCAAAATTGAATGAGCGCAGCCAGCGATTTTCTTTCTTTCGACCTTTATACCCTTTCACTATCCTCTTACCGTCATCCTATCTTCCGACAAGGCTTCTAACCCGAAACTTCATCCTCACTTCGACTCTCATTTTCTTTCGTGCATTGTACAGTTATTTCTTACCCATACCAATTATATACATTCTGTTGTAAGTCGCAATTTCATTACATTATCATTGCGCACTCGCTCATTTTCTTGGAAAGCTAATGTGCTACCAAAGCTGATGCATACAAAATAAAACGTGTCAACGTGGCAACGGTCTCGTAGAGATTACCTCGAATGCGAAATGTACTTTCACCCTTTTCTCTTCTCTCACCTTCTCTTTTATCATTGGTCTGATCTCATACACGTACACATGCACGCGGGCACACGTCCAAAACCCACACCTCAACCCGACAAAGGGATAAAGAGAGTGAGTCTGTGTTTTGGTGTGCGTGCTTGCTTGCATGCGTGGGTGTGTGCGAAGGCAACCGTAAGTGTATGTGAATTCAGTTATCGCTTTAATTTCAATATACAATGAGGAGTAGTACATTTCACATTTAATGATTATACTCTTGAGATTGACTGTCGCGTATGAAACATTCCGTATGATTTGTAACACAAATATTAATTTGACAAGTGGTCCGCTTTATTTTCATTTCATTATTGTATAAATTCTCCTTCAATACGTGTGTGTGCGCGCGCGCGCGCGTATATATATATATATATATATATATATATATATATATATATATATATGTACACACGCGCACACAAACAAATTAAAAAAAATGAATTTCTATTAAAAGCCCCTTGTTTATCCTGGAAAGAAAGATAATTTAAAACAAATTCGAGGATCTCGGCACAATGCAGCATTATTTAAAGCGCGATAAAGCAGTTTGGTATGTGATAAGTGCGATAAAAATATAAGCAAAATTTACAGAATATTTTTTACAAACTATAATAGCCACTTTCATTATTTTAGGCAAAATCGTAGTTAAGTAGATGTTCTTGGTCTATACTCGATAGATGATAAATCCAGAACAGTTGAAATTATGCTTTAGAAATGCGAATTTATAGTCTCCGAAATGAGCATAACGAAAATAATGTATTGTACAGAAATATTTGAAATTGTAAACGACATATATAAATGAAGACGTTCTTAAACGGCGATGCTTAAATTTGTAAGATACATGATATGTAAGATCACAGTATGTAATTTACCGGCACGTTTGTGCGCGAGACGATGTGTCCAAGGGCGAAACTGTATGGAAATATTTTGCGGTGTTCCAGTCTTCGTCCTTAATTATATGGGATTTAGACACATTTGCGGAGTAATCATTGTATTGGAAAAGCAAACCCATCGTTTGCACATTTTCCGCGATAATAGAGTTCCAATTTAAATCGTCACTATTGTTGTGCGTGGTACTGCATATTAACGACTGCTCTGAGTAAACAAATACCTACAAAATAAACCTATATTATTAAGTATTTGGTCAGCCAATGGCCAGACTGATGTATTATACTTTTTATACATTGCTGGACTAAGTAATAAATGTAAATGTTTTTGCAAAACCGTATACCTGAAAGATATGAAATTACTTAGATTCACAGACAGGTAGAGTACAAAGAAAATAATAGAAAAAATTCATCATTGTAAGATTTTGTAGCATAGCAAGTTGAAAATTGTGTACTTTATTTAATTTTTACGCGTTATTGAATTGGCGAGCGTACAAGATTTAAAATTATATTTAGAAACACGCATGAAGAGAGAGAAAAAAAAAAACAAACAAGCAAAATAAAATAAAATAATTTAGCATCGGAAGATCATTTTCTTTTAGGCCAGTGAAATCATTATTCTAGCCCTCGATTGGCGAGAGCTATTTTACGATGCTAGTTAATATAAATCCATCTATAAAATTACTTCTTTTACGAAAATTACGCACGTCGCTGAGTAATACTTAAGGACGTTCAATGCTGTGAAGTATATTAATGAGTAATTGGTAAAAGTTAGTCTTAATCAGAAGTAATTAATTAATTAATTAAGCAAATAGTAGATTATATTTCTTTGCAAAATGCATAATGTGCCCCTTGAAGTTGCATAGCAGAATCAGAAGTTCTACTCCATGAGTAACTATGAGAATTTTGCAACGCATTTACAAAAAGGTAGCTGTATGTTGTATAATTGTATATAAAGAAGCTCGATCAATTTGTCACTAGGTTGCATTTACCACATTGTTTATTCCGTTCGTGAATGAATTCTCACGTTACGAGAAATGAAAGTCACTATTTTCTTAACTTTATTACATATTTTAGCACAGTAAATATAAGGAAGCATCTTTATATTAAAGTTACATTTCATTATTCATTTAAATTAAGAGAACGTGTATTTAATATCAGCATTTTCAAACACTACTGTAAATGAATGGAACACTACTTTTTTGTACCTTGTTTACAAAATTAAAACAATTTTTTAAAAAATTTTATAAAATGCAGTGTTAGTAATTAATAAATTTCATAGCTTCAATTTAGAGAAATTTCATCTCAATAAAACTGAGAAGGGACCAATAACAAAAAGCCCTTTCGTATATCATACTTTTATAAATAAGCTTTAATGTTTTTATTTTTATTTTTCTACTTTTGACACGTATACATGAAAACATTGTAACAATAATGCTTCGTATTATAAGTAAAAGAAAAGAATGTACCATTTACTATGTTATATATACACACACACGCACACACACACACATATATATATATATATATATATGCGTGTGTGCGCCTGTGCGCCTGTGCGTGCGCGCGCGTGTATGTTTATATGCTGCTTTATCACCATGTTTAAAAACTAAAATTGAAAATGGTCAAGTTATACTTTTCTTTTACAATAATTTTGAAGCCATTGAATAGCTTCTTTGTGAGGAGGGGGGGGGGGGGCAAATACAATAATACTGCCAAGAATAGCCAAAGTTATAAAACAAAAAATAATAAAAATAAAAAAATATATCAATGTGTGTGCATCTATGACATGTCAAAAGATAAGATGTATGAAGAATGATGGAAAAAAAAAATAGCCAAAGTTATAAAACAAAAAATAATAAAAATAAAAAAATATATCAATGTGTGTGCATCTATGACATGTCAAAAGATAAGATGTATGAAGAATGATGGAAAAAAAAAAGAAAAAAATTAAAGTCTCTTTCCTCTGTGCATAGGCATAATCTTATAAACTCTGGTCTCAAGGAAATCAAAATCATTTTCTGTATGAAAATAAAGATGCTTGTGATTTATCACTACATAGGGTGTTTCGTTGTAAATAAGCGTATCATCACACATTTGTTCCTTGAACTAATGCATAAATTGTCGATCAGTGACGTACGCCTCCATGTGTGAAATATGCGCAACATAATTTGTTAGGTAAAACTAATTACTAAGGTATACATAAAAATTAGAGTAGTTTTTGTACCTGTTTATAAACAATTTCTATACTTATGTAATTTGAAATAAGTAGCAAGTGATCTTTATAATATACATAATACAAGCAGCAAAATGTACATGTGCAATGAACATTTTAATAATAAAAAAACTAAAATATACATAAATTTTTTGTGTGTGTGTGTGCGCGCCTCTGTGTCATTGAATCTTTTCCATTCATCATTGAGATGCATATATCTCCGATTCCATTCGGGGGTGTGTGTATGTATGTATGTATATATATATATATATATATATAGTTTCCTATTAATACACAATAATAATTTAATTAAATAATTCATATTTCGATAATGAATATCAAATGAAAATGCATTTCTTTTCTTAATTTCATAATTATAAATGCTAAAACGGAAGTGCATATTATAATGGGAAAGAACATGCGCAATAGTAAGTATATAAGAAATTTACAAATTTACCGGCTCTTTAACCGCCGTAATCGAGAACGTTCCTCCTCCCCAGCAATAAATAATTAATAATTAAAATTAAAATATCAGTAAAGCCGAAATTTAATTGAATTTGGTGAATATCGGAGAGACGATCGTGGATTCGTTAGTTCGTTCTCGTGTCGCATAGTGCGATCAACAGTGAATTATATTATAGTAATTTCTTTCATTAAACGATTGCCCATAATGTCGCAGCGATATTGGAATTTGTTATTGACATAAATATATATATATATATATATATATATATATATATATATATATATATATATATATATATAGAGTGTGTTTGCCGGTAAAGATGAAATTAAATTCCCCTTATATTATTTAGTCGTTAAAATTATCATTTTACTTATGACTCACGTACGGCTTTGATTAAAATATCTCTTTCTCGCGACATTTCGCCCAGATTTTTATGGCTAATCATAAATCCGTTATGCCGGTATAAAGTAAGTCAAGCGTGAAAAGAAATACTTTAAGCGAGCAGCGCCCGCTGCTTCTGCAGTCGCTGTCGGTAAATATTTCGTTAAAGCGTGCGCGCGCGCGCGAGATTATGTTTTTATCGGATGTCGTATGGCTGGGGTTTAGTCGTCGATAGCCAATGAGATAACGATTTCGACTGCGTACATACGACATCTCGAAGCATTCGATAGTCGTGGCGATTAGGATTAGAGAATCATCGGAGTGTCGGTGATATTCCAAGATTTATATTCCAAGTCAAATCGAAATTTCGTTTTCCTGCTCGTGGTACACGGTCGCTTTGTTTTTTTTAACCTCTTATGATCGCAACATATATTCAATATGCAGATGAAATGATACTTCTTACCTGATCTGAATTTGACTTATTTACTTTCGCCAGCATTTTTTGTTCATCGACGCTCAAATAAGTTTTTATGATTGCGCATAAGTTTTATTTATCCGGGGTTGAAGTTATCAGCGAGTTCTTAAGTAACAAGGTATTTATTAAATATGTAATGCCAAAACGTTTATTTCACAATTTATCACAAAATAAAAAAATTAAATTAAATATACATCTGATGAACAATATGAATTTATTACGTTCAAGAGTAATTTATTATAACCTTCAACCTGTCAGTGAAATAAAAAAAGCAATTTCTGTAGAAGCTTCTTCTCAAATAGGAAATATGACAGAAAATAAGTCGGATGAAAAGAAGGAAAATGATATTAAAGTCACATATCTAGATACTCCTGTTAAGTCGGAAAGCGACCAAAAGGAATATAGGTAATGTAGCTAATTTTTTTTTTCGACTTATTTGTCAATTAAATATCTCTGTTGCTTCAAATGTCGCACAGACTATTAGGGCTGCAAAAAATATTTACTTTAGTGCGTATATTTGATTGGCATTCGCAGAGTTATAAAATTAGAGAATGGCTTAACCGCTTTATTGATTTCTGATTTAAAGTCCATCCAAGATAATGACGCTGGGGAGAGTGTACAAGAAAATGGTAAGAGCTATTATTATCGATAGTTTAAGTAACGGCGATGCCAAAGTACATGCATTTTATCTTGTAGTTTCCGTCTGCTCCGCCGATGATGAAAGCAATATCAGCGAAGAAGATAGCGAAAGCGACGGTACAGACGAAGACGACAGTCAAGATGATGCTTCGAACGACGAAGACAGCGTTGAGGCTGGTACTAAAACGCTTAAAAGGGATAAGAAAATGGTGCTGGTTTATATTCTTGTATAATATATCCTGCGCGTGTCCTTTACTATCTTATTACTATTATTTTTTTTTCATTTGCAGGCAGCTTGTGGCCTGTGCGTAGGTGTTGGAAGTTTCAGCGATCCAAAAGATATACAAGGATTGGCTCATTTCCTTGAACACATGGTATTCATGGGCTCCGAAAAATTTCCACAGGTTATCGATAATCATTTATTTAATAATTTTTTTAACAATAATACCAAATATTTTCATAATAAATAACATGTCAAAGTTTAAATTTACTTTGTTAGGAAAATGACTTTGATACATTTATAAAACAAAGAGGAGGTTTTGATAATGCCTGCACAGACTGCGAGCACACTACTTTCTACTTTGAAATACAGGAAAAGCATTTATTACCCGCTATGGATCGATTTGCTCAATTTTTTATAAGTCCTCTTATGAAAAGAGATGCAATTACTCGAGAACGCGAGGCTGTTGAAAGTGGTATGATTTAATTATTTTCAAATATCGACTATTCGATTATTTTACCAAATATTTTGAATATACAATGTGTAAATTTGCAGTTTGAAGTAATTTACATTGAATTTCGATTCGATTTAAATCATTGATTTTATCTTCATAATTTGTATTTATAATTTGTAATTATATTACGTATGAATTATATTGAGATGAATTTTCACAATCTACTGAACAAAACACTACTTATTGTCAAATTGCCTACGATATTTAATTGATAATGTTATATCAAGATATTTAAGAATCCCAAAAACAATTGATAATTTTTTTTATATTCAAATGTAGTTTTAGTGCATTTTATGAATAGCTAAGAAAAACAAAATAATCTCGAAATTTGAATTAATTCGTTTGCAATTCATTTATTTAAAAGATCGGATAAATTCAGATCACATGTTACCAGTGCACGTTACATATGTAACATTAATAGTACGCTATTAAATTTTTATTAGTTAGTATATTTCCATTAGTTTATACTATAAGGATTTTTTAATGTTTCATAGAATTCAAAATGGCATTGCCATCGGATTCTAATAGAAAAGAGCAATTGTTCGCAAGTTTTGCAAGAAAAAATCATCCTGCTGCAAAATTTCCGTGGGGAAATTTAATTACATTACGTGACAATATCGACGAGGATAAATTAAATTCAGAATTGCATAAATTTCGGGAAAGGCATTATAGTGCACATAGAATGACATTAGCAGTTCAAGTTAGTAATTTCATGTATAATAAAATAAAGTAAAAAGAGCGTATTGAAAGATTTCAATAATTAAAACGATTTTAATGTTTCAGGCAAGATTATCATTAGATGTATTAGAACAATATGTTAAAGATTGTTTTTCCAATGTACCTGTAAATAATTTACCAGCAGATGATTTTAATGAATTTGTAGGAAAAAATTCATTCGACAGTCCAGAGTTTAACAAATTATACAAGATTAAACCTATTAAGGACATTAGTCAGGTAAGTTACAAAATAAATAAAGTAATTCTTTAAGATCTTAAAAAATATTGTCTAATTGACAGGTTGAATTGACGTGGGTAAGTCCACCTTTACATCATCTGTATAGAAGTAAATCTCATCAATATGTTTCATGGATTATCGGTCACGAAGGGAAAGGCTCATTAATTAATTATCTTCGGAAGAAAATGTGGTGCCTTGATATTTTCAGTGGTAATAGCGAAGGAGGTTTTGAACATAGCTCTATGTATGCCCTTTTTAGTCTATCTTTAATACTAACAGACGAAGGCTATGAGCATTTGAACGAAGTATTAGATGCTGTGTTTTCCTACATAAATTTGTTACGTTACGAAGGTCCGCAGAAGAGACTGTTTGACGAGATTCAGCAAATAGAAAATATTAATTTCAGGTTATAATTTATAATTGAAAATTGAAGTTAATACTTTAATAGCTTCGTTCTATTTGTTAAAAATGAAAATTAAAAATCTAGATTTCCCAGTGATTTGCAAATAATAAGCTCGAATGTTTCAATTTTTCTCAGATTCACCGATGAAGATAGTGCTGTATATTATGTAGAGGCATTGTGCGAGAATATGCATTTCTATCCCCCGGTAGATTATATTACCGGTAGCGAATTATACTTTGAGTATGATCCTGAATCTATTAAAAGTTCCATTGATATTCTACGCCCAGATAATGTTAACATTATACTGTTTGATAAAAAGTTCAACGAAGATGATTTTGATAAAGTAGAGCCTTGGTTTCAAACAAAATATTCGAGCAGTGAAATACCTAAGGAATGGGTGACACGTTGGACAGAAATTAAACCATTGCCTGAATTTCATCTTTCAAAACCAAATTTGTATATTACAGATGATTTTAGTTTAATTGACTTGCCAGCTGATATACCAAAATATCCAGTAAAAATCCATCACAATGATAAAATTGAAGTTTGGTATAGAGTAGATCCAAAATTTCGTCTTCCTAACTGCTACATATATCTTTATTTGATAACCCCTTATGCCATTGAATCTCCTAGATCGTAAGTTAGCTGTTATTATTAAGTCACGTGTAATATTATTAAATTGTCAACAATGTCTTGAATAATTATTTTTATGATCGTTAAATTAGCTCGGCAATGCTGAAGATGCTCGTATCTTTATTAGAACAATTATTAATCGAGGATTTATACGATGCAATAGTTGCTGAGTTAGAATATCATATTAGTTCATGCATAAAGGGTATTATGGTTAAAGTACACGGCTTGAATCAAAAATTATTTGTTAGTATACATTGTTTATTTGTTCATGTATTTTTTTCCATACGCTAATTAGGTTATTATTGTTAATTATGTTTTTATCACCTTTTCTTTTAGCTTTTGCTGGAAACAATATTAAAGTGTATAGCAAACTGTCATAAATTAGCAACAGAAAAGTTGTTTAACGTAATGAAAAGAGAGCAGCTAAAGTCTTATTACAATACTTTTCTTAAACCTGCTAAGCTTGCCAAGTAAGTATACGATAAGGGCTAGACATTTTGAACCTTTAAAATAGTTTAAAAACAGCTTGAGGTATAAAATTGTTAGGCACATTGCAATTGATATATTATTGATATATTATTTTCATTATTTAATTTGCATTAGTATGAATGATTGATGTATAATGGAAGTTGGGGTTTGTTAATCTAGAGGGCTCGAAATAATCGAATTGCAACGATAAAAATGAATCGTTAAGTGAGTAAAGAATTAAATTCATTTATTAGAGTTGTTAACCACCTCTCTTCGCCGATATTTAATATTTCTAAACGTGAGTTGCATGCAACTATTTATTGTTTTTTTTTTTTTTTTTTTTTTTTTTTTTTTTTTATCTTCACCATTGATTGATTGATTGATTGATTGATCGATCGAATAGAAAAATATCCAATTTCGAGTCGCATCTGCAATGCCGTATAAGGAATCGTAATATATTTTCTATATCTGCAAGAATAATATACAGTAACTTTAATTACTTTTAGTGATGTTCGAATATCGATTTTAACCGAAGGTTTTTGGACGTCTATCGAAAAGTATGACGTAATATCTGGAGTAACTTTTGACGAGTTCATCAGTTTTGCTAGGAATTGTACGGAGCACATGTACATTCAGTGTCTCGTGCAAGGCAATGTTAGCGAAAAAGTTGCACTAGAAAATATATACAAATGTATCGAGCCACTGGAATATTATGCATTAACACCGAAAACTCGCCTTCGCTTGAAACTTCATCAAATTCCAGTTGGTGAAAAGTGCTGTCGTGTGAAAAATTTCAATCCTATGGATGTTAATTCCATTGTAACAAATTATTATCAATCCGATGTCGCTTCTATTAAACTTTATGTTATTATTGAATTGTTAATGGTGAGCGAACTTCAAATGTTGCACAATCATTTTTCAACGGCACTTAATGATTATTATGTATTATCATATTTTCATTTTTTTTATTTTTACTTAGATGTTCATGGAAGAACCAATATTTAATCAACTTAGAACTCAAGAGCAACTGGGTTATGATGTTTCTTGTTTATTGAGAGATACTTACGGTGTTATTGGATACTCGATTACTGTTTGCACACAGGCCGACAAATTTACAACGGAATATGTCGATGAAAGAATCGAAGCATTCATACGATCATTAACCGATTCGTTCAAAACCAAAACCCTCGACGATTACAACTTTATAAAGGAATCTCTCATTAAATCGAAGCAGTGCACCGATATAGACCTTAAAGAAGAAGTTAACAGAAATTGGACCGAAATAACAGATGAAACATATATTTTTGACAGATACGATAAAGAAATCGCTGCTATAAAAACAATAACAATTGAGCAACTTATCGAGTGGTTGAACGATCACATAGTTAATGGAAAAAGTTTTAGAAAATTAAGTATTCAAATAGTTGGAACAACTAATGAAGATAAAAGGGACGACGGTAAGCAAGTGAAACATATTTCAGCGAATTTACGAATGAAAATTAATTTTAATGACAATTAACAATTGTTAATTCCACAGAAAAAGACAAAAATTTAGATCCAGCGTCAAAAAAATATTCATTAACATATTTGACAGATGATAAAAAACCATCGGAATATTATATAACCGACATTGAAGCTTATAAGAGTAAATTGAATCTATTTCCTACTAGTCACACAACTTTATGACAAACGAATATCTAATATTATTAAAAATTTGTACTGAACAAATTTTTTAAATTATGCAGAATTTTATAGTTTTGAAATAAAATAATAAGTATAGAACTACTTGTATAATTTAATTATTTGAAGTATTTATAATTGTCATTTTATTTTTAAGATTCATAAATTTTAATAAATGAAAAATTAATATTTTTCGATAGTTTATTATGAAATTCAATTTTTTTTTTTTTTTTTTTTTTTTTTTTTTTTTTTTTTTTTTTTTTATTATAGAACATGCGTTTGTAATGCACAAATTTTATATAATAAAAAATATTAATATATCAAAAAAATTATTTTGAATAATGTATAATTTTATAAAGTAGCGTATTTTAATTTTTTTAGAAAATTAAATATTTTTATTTATTTGGGTGTAGTGTGTGTGTGTGTGTGTGTACCCTTACTCGTAGATGCCTGTTAATGGTAAACTCCTTGCTTTCTCAACATCGTACGTACTCCATGTAAAATCGCAAATGTATCGGATTTTACGGGAGTTATGCTTAAAATTCAAAATACAAATATTTAGAAGCAATTGTTGATTAATTTGATGTGATGCTTATTTACCGATGCTGTAACGCTTTATTTTTATTTTTTCTTTCTTTTTTTTTTTTTCTTTTTTTTTTAACTGAAATTTGTGTCGAAGGCACGGCGTTACAAAGATAATTCGAGAACGATTTGCACAGACGTATATTCAAAAGTAAAATATTCTACAAAATTAGCTCAAGACAAAGTGGCTAACAAAGGCCTAGAAGAATACATTCGACCTAAAATATTTATTACTTAGAAGACATTGTTATTATTAATGGAGAAGATAATAAAGATATAAACTAAACAGTTTTTTCAAATCTTGATTAAAAATAAAAGATCTTTTGTTCAAATTTCATTTTCAAGCTTAAAATTAAGTATCTGTAAATGTTTATTTTAACGAGAGAAAAATTAGTAATCCTCGATATATTTACTTTTCTATAAAACTTGACTTTCATTATTTCTTTATGCAACAACAATTCATCGTCATATACGTTTTATATTTGTCGATTGATTAATCGTATGTGAAAATACCATAAAACATTCAAATAAATGAAATAAATAAATGAATGATATATTCTTATTATGATAATGCACGTCTTTTAGTATTACATTGATGGTAATTTGATGTAACATGCAGCATAATTTAACATTTAAAAATGAGTTTTATACATCAGACGATGAAGAGTGAAACTTCCTTTCAACAATTTGTTTGAAATATGAATAAGTTTGCTAATAATTGTCACATGCGATACATAAGAAGAGAATGTTAACAAGGTTTACAAGGATAATACATAATTAGTTATAACTAATGACATCTCATATTAATGAATAAATAAGGATATTGGCTATTTCTCTTTTAATGTATTCTTTATTTGTATGACATGACAGTACATTTTAATAAATCATTAAACTTCCAAAATATTGGCCAGTCGTTTTTATGATGCTTTCTTGTTGAAAACTTGTGAAAGAATTGGTTCGCTCGTGGGTTTCTTAAGAAATACCATAAAATTCAATAATCAAAATTCTTAAATTGATCGGGTCATATTTACTTGTTAAATTTTTTTTTTCTTTTCTTTCTTTCTTTCTTTTTTTTTTCTTTTTTCTTTTTTTTTTTTTCCTTGATCTTTCACCAATCGGCGCGCGTAATACATAATAATATCGAAAGTTAATTTAAAAGAAGCTAATTCCATAGAAATAAAAAATTTGACACAATAATTTTTTCTTGTTGTTGTTGTTGTTGTTGTTGTTGTTGTTGTTGTTGTTGTTGTTGTTGTTGTTGTTGTTGTTGTTGTTGTTGTTGTTGTTGTTGTTGTTGTTGTTGTTGTTGTTGTTGTTGTTGTTGTTGTTGTTGTTGTTGTTGTTGTTGTTGTTGTTGTTGTTGTTGTTGTTGTTGTTGTTGTTGTTGTTGTTGTTGTTGTTGTTGTTGTTGTTGTTGTTGTTGTTGTTGTTATATCTAGCAGCATAATATGACTGTTATAATGGACGCTAAATGCTTGATCAATTATTGAATTTCAATTCAATTTGAATTTTAATTCGTGCTTCTGTTGACGAAATTCTATTGCTAAAAACGACCGATTACTGCCGTCTCGTCTCCACAACGGACATTTTTTACATTGAATATCGATGCAATTCTGATAATCTAATTCATTACAACATCCATCAACGTGCATTTTTCATGTAATATTTGTTTTGTTAGTAATGATTTTATAATTAATACAATTCTTCATTAACTGCGGTATTATAGAATTGCCACTACGTTTATATTATCGCCTAAACTTGAAATATCAACCTGTGCTTTCTCTATGATTTTATCGTTCAACGTTGCTTATTATTAGAATAATAATCTTTCAGTTTGCCTTGTGTTTTCGCTAGTACTGATTCTTTGTCCGAATGAAACGAAACCCTTGGTCGAGCGGACCAACTTGACAGTCTCCGCATCAGTGTATTTCAATTAGTTTTGATGGTAAAACCGGATAAATGTAACTATTATTGAGAATAATCTCCGCCGAAAACACGAAGAACATTTATGCAGAATCAGCTCCGCTGAACACTAGGCACAGATGGGATATATGTTTACAACAATAAAAATTACATTGTGGAGTCATTAAACTTTTTCCACTTTTCGCAAAATTGTATGTGCGCAACTCACGTAAAGGAGTGCAATGGTTAATCGCATTATTTGTCGGTTACAAAATTAAATCAATACAAAATAGATACAGCATATTTAACTTCCTTATCTCATTGTGTCGATGCTCTCGTCTCTTCTATTTATTTTCTCTAGTAGAATTAGACACTAAATTTATTCATTAAAGCACATAAAATGTATATTAGTCCTCTAAATGCTTATAATTTCCGTCGATAATTTTCTATCCATTCTTCATCGATGCATTTTAGAAAGAAAAAATTAGTATTATTAATTGTATCATTTAGAAGGTCAATGGCTTAATAATCGACAATAGTTGCCGCGTGATTAAAACAAAACTCAATACATTATGAAATTTTTATTTTTAACAAAATTCTAAGAAAGATATTGACGCACCATGCAAGTCATTATAATAATAAATATATAGTTAGTCAGTGAACGCATATATAAATCATTTCGCGCATGCACATTTTATACTTTTTTTTCCTTTTGAAGTTTTTACTTGCTTTACTTTTTCATTTTTAGCTAAGACGAGAAATAATAGGAGAATATATGTTATGTAATATTTAATAAGAATATATAATAATGGGGCCCACGTTATGGTTTCAACTACATCAATAGTGATTGATCGAGTGTATTTTTTTCTTTCTTTTTTGATATAATTTTTATTTTTATTTTTATTTTTATTATTATTATTATTATTATTATTATTATTATCATTTATTATCATTATTATTATTATTATTATTATTATTATTATTAATATTAATAGATATAATTCATGGCTCCTATCATATTTAAATATACTTGATAATTATATACGTATATAAGCGAGAACCTATGATATATAATATAAAAAGAAAACTAAGAAAATACAAAAGTAGTCAGCCGTGGTAATTAAAAATGTTAATTCTTGTAGAGGCGCAAGACAAAGCATACAATAAATAAACTACCGGTCACAAAAAAAAAAAAAAAAAAAAAAAAAAAAAACCAGCAATCATGTTCAAAGAAATTGAAAATAAAAGTTAAAAGCAGTTTCATCAATTTAAATGCCCATTAAATTATTATTTGCGCGCCGGCCAACCATTAAATGTATTGCAACGGATGCACGTAACTCCTTTATAAGCATGGTTATTGACACAACCATCGTTACTACTTTTTTCTGCCTTTTGCAACGAAATAGTAAGAAGAATACTCGAATGTTCTATAAAGCAAAAAAAAAAGAAAAAATAAAAGTTAATAACTTTATACGATTTTAAAGATAAATGAAGAAATATAAATGGTGAGTACTTTTGCCTTCGTAGATACCATATATATATATATATATATATATATGTTGTGTTGTGTTGTGTTGCGCGCGCGCGCGCGCGCGCGTGTGTGTGTGTGTGTGTGTGTGTGTGAAAGAAATAAGAGATAATGAAAAGAAAAAATTCTTTTGTTCGGCTGCTACGCGGCCAGTTTAAATCTTGAATAAGTATTTTATTTTTTTTTCTCTTCATTTTTATTTAACATATATGTATTATATGATGTTAAAAATCATCCATTATAAGAGTTTACATAAACGATCGATCGTTTGAATGTTTTACTTTTACTTTTGCATTAATGGTCATAGAGCATAGTGCGTGGGCCCCTAATTCTATGCATTTAGTGAAAAACTTGATGCGCGTTCAATGCGCCTCAGATTTATTGTTTTTATTCATAAACCTTTTTTACTCATTGAAGCTACTTTTTTATTACTTATACAATAAACACACGAGGTTTTCTTAATGCGTGATTAACTTTTCCTTTTTGTTTAGTTCATAATTGCATTTGCTTTTTATTAAAAATTTTTGTTCAACTTTAAATTGTTTCTTTATGCCTGACATCAGTGCTGCGGCAACTGATTTATTCTGCATACATCCTGAATTGTACATTTATAGCTTTATTAGTTATTAAATTTCATGTTATCAAGAGATTCATATGCTTTAGAGTGAAAATCAATCGTGTTTCATTGTTTTAACAAAGCGTAAAGTGGTATGCACTCTCGAGCTTAATTGTTAAATTATTATTGTTATTTTTTTTTTTTTTTTTTTTGCATATAGCTGCTGTTTCATTTTACATTGACTGGCTCTTTAGCTCATAGATTCGAAAACTAAAAGTGTATTTCGACATAGTTAAGATTGTATATTATATGCTCGGAAATCATCCATTTTTAATACGTCGAAGGAGACCTAAGCGAGTCCTGAATAAAAAGCTTATCCCAGAGAACGTCTTTTCATCACATTTACATTTTACATTTAGACCAAATTGGTTTCCGTTGACATTAACTTTGTTCTTATTCGTTTAAAATCTTTTTTACCAGTAGAGTTGCACATCAGATGCTTTTCTCTTTACCTATGTCCGACTTCTTGGCCTTAAGTCCCTTACATGTCAAATTCGCGAACTAACGGCATTCACTAAGTTACTCATTTTATATAATTTTCCTTTGTTTCATTGTCTTAATGCATTTAGTCGCGATAACAAATCTACAAAAATATAGCGTTGTCTCTTTATTTATCACCTCTTGGTATATTAATCCAATAAATGTTTTTTTTTTCTTTCTTATTCACTCAATACATCTGCATTTCTCGACACGACATTTTTTTATTTAGCAATTAGATCTGTCATTCCATTAAATCGTGTTTATAGTGCTGCCATAACTTGTTTATTTATTCTTTCATTTTTTTTAATTTTTTTTTCCCTCGACAAGCATTACATTTTCGTCAATATAAAAAAAAGAGTGCTCCACCATATAGCAATGATGACTTTCAGCCAACGTAATTTGGCGACTATTACGTTAAATTGGATTCATCGACATAATCATATCTCATATAAACTTAGTGCGTGATCAACACACCTAAGAGCATTTTTTCTATATACATTGATCGTACCTTTGCTACTTTACGCTTGATTTTAATAAGTATGTACAATTAAGGATCGCTGAAACGACAGGAGTCAAATTTTGTTGACAATTTTGAAAAATATGGCAAACGAGATTATCCACTATCAAATCCTAATAAAGCATCTATTGTTTCTTTAAATTGAAAATTGAAAACGAATATAGGCAAGAAGTAAAGAATAAAAAATAAATAAAAATAAAAATAAAAAAAAAAAAAAAAAATGAATAATGAAAAATTTGCACGTTGAAATTTCATTGAATTCGGCAAAATTTGACGCGCTTTCAGCTTTCATAATGCACACGTACGTACATACCATACAAAACAAGCAGTAGCTTTTTATTCCATCCTTTCCTACACATATACATAAACGTACATGAACGTACACGCGCATACGCACACATTCTTACGCACGCTCACCAGGCCAAGTTCATTAATCGTCTAATTAATCAACAAAGATCAATCTCGGATCAATTTTTACGCGTGTTTTTGTGCCTGTGCATGCACTTCATTGCCTAATCCACATACGTATATAAAACTATAATCACATCGTCTGTATATACATTGATCATATTTACTTACTCATTCGTTCTTTCTCATTCGTTTATTCCTTCCCTCTACCTCGTGCACACATCCATTGTCTATTATTTTAAATGCATACGACGTATTAATCTTGTTAAATATGTAAATGTAACTTGCCACATGATCAACATAATTAACACACTTAAGATCTGTCTTAATCTTCCAATAATAATCAAAGGGCTACAATCGAGTAATTAATGGACATTTAAAAAAAAAAAAAAAAAAAAAAAAAAAAAAAAAAAAAAAAAATATATGCAAAAGCATTATCAAATTTATCTTCAATGATTTATATAAGTAAACTAACTATATGACAATAAAAATACAGTAACATTCAACCGTAAAAGTAGAAAAAAATCTATTCTATATTATGATTTTATTAGTAATTTTATAAAGGGCTGAAACAATGATAAATAATGCTTTGATAAAATTAAAAATTTGTAATAGTTCTTTAGATTTTTCAGATTCCTTGAACACAGTGCGTAAAAAAAAAAAATAAATATATATATATATATATGTGAGTTAAAAGAAATAATTAGATACATACATAGCAGAAAAAAAATCATAAATTGATAAATTGATAAATGAAAAAACAAACAGTTAAATTATATTTTCTTTCAGAATCCAAAATATTGTTATTGTTAGACAAATTTAGATTCGTTTAAAAAATCATTTTAGAAAAAATGGCTCTTATATTCTGAAAAGTTAGAACAAGCAACAACAATGTTAAATAAATCTATTTCAAACTTTAATGCATTATTAAAAATTTATTAAAAATTATGAATTGAATTGTGTAAATTAAAATGAATATCTAAGTAAACAAATGTAATATTATTAAAAAATTATTGACATTATTG